GGAAAAAAATGGGACACCCCCCCCAAAAAAAAACCCCAATTTGTGGGTGTCATAAGCGGAGGGGGCAAAGGGAGGGGGGGCTCTGGGTGGCCGCGGTGGCCCGGGCAGGGACGGGGGCAGCCGGTAACGGGGCAGACCCCGCAGGGATTTCCTTCTCCCGGCTGCGGGGAGCCCCGGGGGGGGCGCGGGAGGTGGCTGCCCCCCCCCCTTCCCCTTCATTTCATCCCCCCCCCCGGGACTGCGTCACCGCCTGCGCCATCGCCCTGCGCCGGGAGCCCGGGAACGGCCGCCCCGGATGGGGGAGAACCGGGGGGGGGCACCGACGTTGGTGGAATTCAAATGGAAATGTGGGTTTTTTTTTTTCTAAATGCCAATAAATCACGAAAGAAGCAGGAATCTGGAGGCACAGGCCTGCACCGGCTGCTCCCGGTTTACCGGAGGGGGGGTAAATTACCGGCCCGGGGGGGGACACACGCTGTTTTTACCCCATCTCTGCGGGGGGAAACCGCAGCGAGAGCAGCCCCGGGGGTTGGAGCTTCTCCCTGCCCCGGGGGGGGACACACAGCTTCGGGCCGGGGCAGGCTCCAGCCCTTCCCGTCCCAGAAAGTCCCCTGGGGGGGGGAAAAACGATTAAAATGATAATTAAAAAGACCAAAATGTGCCGAACATTTTGTGCCCCAGGGAGGGCTTGGGGCTTCCCTGCGCTGGTGTTACCCCAGGGAGCCTTTGGCACTGCTCCCCCGGGGACACACACACCCCCAAAATCCTCTTCTTTTGGCTGAAAAAAATCGGTGGCTCCTTTCTCCAGCCCCACCAGGGAGCAGAGGCCGCTCAGGGCCGGGCCAGAGGTTGGGTTTTTTTGTGCAAACATTGCAAAAGCATTTCCCCGGGTGTTTGCCTGCCCCAAGGGACACTGAGGGGCACCTGGGCACTGTCCTGCCCGGGGTCACACCACCCACCCTGACCCCAAACCCCGGCTCAGAGCCCCCCAGGGCAGAGGGGCACCACAGCAGGTCAATAAATCCCTCTCAGCTTCCATGTGGTACCTCATATCCGCACCCAGGCCCTGATTATTTTAATTACAGGCACTCCTGAAACCTTTGGCAGAACCAGGAAAGCCTCTGTGCCAGGCACCCACCTCCTGAGAAGGGCCAACACCAAAAATGAGGAGGAACAGGAGGGCTTTTTGCCATTCCTCAAAAAAAATCCCATTTCAACACAGAAAGCAAAGCAGGGTTTGTGACAAAGGAGGTGGAGGAGGAAGTTGAGCACTGGGAAGGCTGGAATCACATCCAGGCTGGAACAGTTTCACAGAGGGAGCAGCCCATGCTGCAACGGTGGTAAAGAAATTAGGCCAAGTTACTGGAAAATAACAGAATTGGAGGGGAAAAAAAAAAGCTGTGTAATCCTGCAGGAGCTGGGACAAAGGCACCAAAGCCAGTCCCTGAGGAACCACAACACCTTTCCAACACCAGCACCTCCAGCTGCCCAGGGGTACAACCAGCCTCAAACCAGAGCGTTTGAACTACGAGGGGAAGCCCATGGCACAGCCACAGCAAAAAACCAAAACTGTGTTTGGTATTTGTCAGGTTTTACTGGTTACAGGGGTTCTCCCCCCCTGCCTGTGGTGGTGCAGAGGGGACACAAGGACCCGAGCCCCCCCAGCTTCCCTCCCACAGCCTTGGCAGCAGCGTCCCATCCACCCACACCTCCTCACGCCGAGCAACTGCTTACTCACTGAGCACACTCTGCAATAAAACACAAGTCATTTTGTAAAAAAAAAATTAAATATTTTATTTTTAAAAATGCTATGCTCCTGGCTCCTCTTCGCCGCGTTCAGACTTCAGCCTCTGCTGCAAGTGCAAAACACACAATGAGCAAGAACATCAAAGCCACCAGGTGTCCCAAGTCCCCAGACCAGACCTGAGATTCAATCCCCAGCATTCACATTTCCATCTGCTTCATACATCCCCAGGATGTATTTGTGTTTTACCTCCCCAGAAACAAGAGCAGCAGTGACAAATCACACTGAATTCAACAGGAATTCACCATCAGAATCTCACTTCAACACTGGTTCAGCTGGGGCTTCTCCAAGCTGGTACTTACCCACCACTCCCGAGTTAAGGTACTTTACCATGTTGCTCCTCACACAAGATTTTAAACACCTCACGTTCCCCCTCATAATTTTAGTGGTAAATTAGAGGGAAAATGTCATTAACTGCAGCTCTGCAAGTTCATTTATTTCCCTGAATCGCTACCTGCTCATGCTCTTGTATTTGCTAATTCATCTTCCAGGTTATTTTGAAAGTTGAATGTTCATTAAAGCATTTCAGAAAAGTAGCTTTTAAACAACTGTTAGTTGGACTAATATTTGAGAAGCAACTGTTCTATTGTTCCCCTTTTGCTTTGCTGACAGTCACCCCCCCCCGTTCACTGGAGCCTGAATGCAGAAACGGTTATTTCTTGTTGGACCCCCCACAGCATTCAGAGGAGAGAGTTTATTTCATGCTGCAGGGGCTGAAAAGCCTCAAACAACGGTTATTTCTTGGCTCTACAAAAGAAAGATTCACAAGTTTTATATGAAACTGAGATTAAACACAGGCAAACTTGAGGCAAGAAGCACACAATACATCACAGGAGCGCTCTCCCAGCAGCGTAAGGACACCAGCCCCTCACCTGCTCAACTTGTCCCTTGGTCCCTCCACACGCCCCTGGGCACCGTGCTGGATGTGCTCATGCTCAGCTTCTCGACTGCAAAAACATCCACAAGTTAGACTCACCATGATTTTGAAACCTTTTGTACAGACCCACATCTAAAAAACTATTTTTAACCACTGTCTCCACGATACCAAGCCCTGCTGGAGCCAACCGCGGGCTCTCAGTTCTTCCCCACACATTTCACACACCCCCATTTCCCAATATTCTCCTATTTCCCAATATTCCCCAATTCCCAGGTACCCAGTGACTGAACACTAAGTGTCCAGGAGCCTTTATTACTTCCCCCATTGAGAACAAGACTGAAGTGATGCTTACTTCCCGTGGATGAGCACTCCAGCTTCACTCAGCGTTCATCTTCACCTAAAGGATAACAACTGAAGTTATTAGAGTAATACGCAACAAATTCTGACCATTTCAAAGACTAACTTAAAAAAAATCAGGTTTTTAACATACATGGACTGATTAGTTATGAGGGGGAATTTAAGAATAAGGGGCAGAAATAGGCTAGCCTAAACACTTGTAAAGAGCTGAAGGAATCTGCAGGAAGTTGACTGAAGAACTGCATCTTGTCTGAGCACAAACCGTCAATCCCCAGCCTGCGTACGGTGAGGTCTGATTGCAGCCAGAGGTATACTATCCCTTATGTGAAGGCATTAACAATTTTGTCAAGCTGCTTCAGCTATTTTATTACCCTAATTTGCTGTCTCCTGCCCTGCTTCTTCCCCTTCGTGAAGGAGTGCCATGTCCCTGGACTGACTCCTAACAGCCCTGGGGGCAATAGTCCCACAAGTGCTTCAGGAGCCGGAGGAGGACCCTGGGGACCAGCTCTCAGTTGACTCTTTTCTGCTCAGCACCAGATTCTGCCCTTCTGAAGCCCCCCCCTTCACTAGAGCTATGAGGGCACGCTGCCCTGGGCAGCAGCGGGGGATGCAGCAGGACAAGGTTTTTCTGTGCACGCCTCTGGTTGGGAGGCAAATCCCACCATGGTCACGGTGGGATCTGACCAGGCAGGGCCAAGTTCAAGTTTAGTCTCAAACCCACCACCTGGGTTTTTAATCATGGCCCTCAGGAGCAGAAGTAGAATATGCACGTTTTGTTTTCTATGCCATAGCGACAAACACCATGCATAAGGGATACTATATCTTTGTGCATCCTTTTAACACTCCAGATTCGCTGAGAGGCACACTCCTCCCGTCCCTCCCCAGTTAGCTCTTCAGTACTGGTGTTCAGAAGCAACATTTAGAGAGATGGGGTGTTCACAGACCACTGCGGGATTGCACAGCCAAGTCCTAACGTGTCAATCATTATCTAGCAGCAATGACAGAGGTGGGAGAAGGCCAATCCTCCCTTTTTTTTTTTTGCCTTTTCCAGTAAGCAGCTATTTAACAGCCCCACTAGCTGGTATGGAGAGGAAAAAAAAAATCTCTGAAGCTAATTAGCTGATTCCAAACTTGCTAGTAGTGGAAGAAGCCAAGTAATTACCCAGAACAGCAGACTTTTAATGCATCCTTTCCAACATGCTGAGCCTCATTGAACATAATGGAACCAAACACTGGCCTTCCTGATCGTGTCACTGCAGCTGGCAATGATTAACAGAGACATGCAACCCCATTACTGCTCCAGTCCTAAAACTACTCACAGGCCTCAGTGTTTAGCTATGGGGAAAACTGCAAGCAAATCAACACTTTGTATGCTTAATGTTACAGTAAAGCCCCCATCCACGCTATGCTGTGCTCTCTCCTGACAGCACCAGTGTCTGGCTCCCAGGGCCAGCCAGGTACGCATATGTATTCTGACACCACACTTCTGAGCTTCAGATCAGCTTTTTGAGAAAAAGTGTATTTCACACACAGGTAAAACCAAGATGAAACACAATGCAAGCACTTTAAATGTCATTTCTTGTCCCCACTCGTTACAGGCTGACTCAGAGCAGACATGGCTGTTTGTGTTTAGGTTAGCTACCACACCGAGTTTCATCACTGCAGTCAGAGCTGGTATGAGACCCACGGTTCAGTCACCGGTTGCTTGCTCCAAGAGTGTCAAAAACCTGCTAGTTCAAGTACGTAGAACGAGGCAGATGTGCCAAAAACCCCTCCAACGACACTCCTGCAGGTCAAGTCAAGTATCCAGAGCACATTGGAAAAACTAAGTCAGATCTGAGCATTGGTTTAAAGATTCATAATCCAGTGTTGCTACATGACAGTATGCATACTGCCGTCAGTTTTGCTACTCAATTCTAGTCACAGGTAAGACTAAGCCATCACAAAAAGCCAAAGTGACTTGGTGACAAGCCGTGTCACTGCTTGACTCGCTGGAGCTCGGGTACACTCACTGGGGTGTAACCAAAGACCTGCTGGTATGATCTTAAGGTGCAGCTGCTACTGAAGCTTTCAGTGGAACAGAGAGAGCTACAGCAGAGGGCAGGGCTGTCGAGCAGATCCCCTGGTCACCAGCAAGAGTCTTGCCTGGAAGGTAACACAGAAGGGTTTCAAAATGTGACAATAATACCAGGAACAAGTATGCAAAGCAGAACTTTGCAGA